TGAGTTTCTGTCATTCCTTGGTTGTAGCAAACTGCTTGCAGTCCATTTATCACACTCACTTGTTGATGGCATCTGGTTTTTGTTTACAAAATTGGTCCTCTCTGGTCCCAAGTGGTTTGTTCCCCACCGTCTCGACTCCATCTCTCACACGTTCTAGCCACTCCTAAATGTATTCTCACCTCAGATTGATTTTCTCTTTTTCAGTTTGAGGTAAATGTGGCTCCCATGGTTGGATACTTGCCTGTGTCCGACAGAGGATGAAAGCACCACCGGGTATTAATGTCATACGAATTGAAGCAACATCCCTTTGCTTGGCATTCCTCAGCGGTGATGCCTGGGTAACCACATTCTAGCCTTGCACTCCCTTCCATTATACAGTGCTGAGAAGCTATTCAGAAAAATGAATCACGTTACATAAATAAAATCATTCTTCTTTATATTTTTCATTTAAAAATAAAATAAAATAAAATAAATCAAGGATAAGTGTAGAGTGGACAATCTTTGAAAACATTATACGAATAAATGCTTAGTGAGGAAACTTAAGAAAACTTAAGTTTAAATAAACAAAACAAAACCCAAGAATTCAAGTAACAGAAGTCCTCTTCTGGATGGGCTGTAAATTCTGGTTTTTCTCCAGCCAACATAACAAACTAAAGAGATGGCTGCTTTGGCTTTCATGATGAAGCTCTTATATACATGCAACTTCTTTGAGGGTGTCAGCATACTTTTACCAGAAATTGAAGTAATAGACTTGTGAGGTGGTTTTGCTTCTTTTTTTTCTGTATTTTATTATGTTAATATAAATCCTTTATTTATTTATTTATTTATTTGTTTGTTTGTTTATTTGTTTGTTTGTTTGTTTGTTTGTTTGTTTATTATTTACATTTTTATACCGCCCTTCTCCCAAGGGACTCAGGGCGGTGTACAGCCATACTAAAACATGTATATCTATAAAATTTAAAAAAAACAATTTAAAAAAGATGAAATGATTTAGCCTATACTAAAACACCCATTAAAATCGTTTTTAAGCCAGCCCAGCCTGTTGAAACAGTAGAATCTTAAGGGCACCTTATTTTATTTCAGTGCAATGATATTTATATAATATGCTAACAGTATTAATGTTATTTATTTAGATACTTTAAAGAAGGGGATGTTTCAACCTTGGCAATTTTAAGACCCATGGACTTCAATTTCCAAAATTCCTCAGCCAGTCATGCTGGCTGGGGAATTCTAGAAGTTGAAATATGCAAGTCTTAAAATTGCCAAGATTAGATATATCTGCTTTAGAATATTGGATAAAATAAGAGGGGGAAAGAATGGATTTTAAAGAAAATGGGGGAAAGTGGATATACATTTTATTGTTTTTCTTTCTTTGTTTAGCTCTTAAAGAATTCAAAAAAATTACCTACCATCATTTACTGGAGGATGAAAACAAGTTGGTGCACCAGATGCCTTTGGATCAAAGCAGCATCCAATTCGTTTGCACCTTTTGCGTGTGATCCCTTGATAGCCACACTCCTTTCTTTCTTGAGATGGAATCATTTTCCTTGCATAAGTTACTGAAGCTGTTATTGTAAACAATATTAAGGTCACTGTATTTTCCAGATAATAAGCTTGGCTATGGCTTAAAAAATAAAGTTGCATGCTGCCTGAATTAATGTTTATTATTAATGGCTTGAATTTGACTAGTGTCTGGTCTAAGGTTTTAGGTTTGTTTCATTAGTAAGTCTGACAGTGTGGCTCCACTATCATAACAGTTTAATGGCAGAAAAGCTGATCAGACAGATTTTATTTAATTATTCATTCATTTTTTTACTCCTTATAGGCTGATCCAATCTGATCCAAAAGAGCTTTGAGTGCCTTTTATTTCTCTCTTAGAGTAAAAATGAGAATAGATTAATTCTAAACAAATGGTAAACAAATGGGTTATGAAAACAGCCTTTCCCACTCCCTTGGAGGCCCTCCGGAGGCCTGAAACGGCCGATTTCCCAACTCCCGGTGGGACAGGAAGTGACGTTTTTTGCTGTCCCCAGCCTCCAGAGACTCCTAGAGAGGATCTGGAGCCAGGTAAGAAAGAAAAATGGGCCTACCAGGCCATCATGTGCCAGGAATGGGAGGGGGAAGGGGGATTGCATGCGTATGTGCAGGGCAGGGCATATAGAATTATGGGTGTGGGCACGTGCACGCGCGAACCTCCCCCGCCCCCCCTCTCCTGGCCTGCGATGGCAAAAAGGTTAGCCATCACTGGTGTAGGGTCCTGCTTTGGGCGGGGGGTTGGACTAGATGACTTACAAGGTCCCTTCCAACTCTGTTAATCTAATCTAATCTAAAAAAAAAATCCAAGTGTTACAATCTCTCTTTCTCCCCAAAGTGCTTTTCAAAAGACCACTGGGATTTATTTTTTTTTGCTCCTCATCCAAGAAGCTTCTTCAGTTTTGGAAAGGTAAAGGAGAACCAAGGAAGCTTCTTGGATGAAAAGCAAAACGTCTTCAAGGAAAAAACAAAGATAGTCCAGTTGCCTTTTGAAAAGCACCTTTGGGACAACCATGACCTGGATGACTGAGAATCTCCATAGATAATCTCCCTTTCTGCTGCCCACCTGTCATTACCTCTTTCACCTGATGGTTTGAAGCACCAGGGGACATCAGGCACCGATGCATCAAAGCAGCACCCATTTTCTGTGCACTGCTCTGCAGTAATGTTTTCTGAAGAAAATTCACATTCCTCTCTTTCACTGGTTTCCATTAGACACTGGCAGGCATCTGTTTGGAAGAAAGGAATTGGGCAGTTGCCTGCAATCTTTTCTTCTTTGTGAATACATTTTTCTCTAATTCAGTAGTCAGTATTTCTGACTAAATATTATTTAGCAGGGCTCTTTTTCTGATATGCCCTTCTCTTACTCATTTCATTTTTTTAAAAAAATGGAAAATACAAGACTCACAATACTGAAGGTAATAACCAATTATTTAAAGGTAAGAATCATTATGTACTAATATTTATTAATAATACATTTGGAACAATCACAGTTGTTACTTCTCTGCAGATAGGGTGGATCGTAGAATCTTAATTATGAGTTGTATTCAAACCATCCGGTGATTATTAATAACAGCTCCTTCTCTGTATGGTTTTACACTTTCTTAACATATGTAGAAGATTGATTTAAATATTCTCTTTTATATTAACTACTGATGCTTTCAGTGAGACTATAAATAAATAAATCCATTCTATTGCACACATAGATTGTTTAATATACTAAGAAATAAAAAAATTCTATCATATAGCCATAATTTCAATATAAATTGGCAGGTTCCCTACATACATATACAATGTCTGAACACCTGAATCCCGCATTGATTCCCTTAGACTTTTAACAGAATGTATAAAATCTAGATTCAAGATTCTCTAAAATGATTTTCTGGTTCTAGGAAATACTCAAGGATTATATTTTTTTATGGCCTAGAATTCTGATGGCCTGTGTTCTGGGATAGCACATACTAAATCTCAGCATTCCAATCTGCAATAGCCTCTTGTTGAGAAAAAGACAACACAAAAAATAATGTACACTCAATGAAGTGTTTACACAAATGCTGTGACTTACATAGTTGCATTAGATATCCTAACAAAAATTCATAATCACAACACTCTGGTGGTGTCTGGGAGGGGAGGGGAGGGGTGCCAACATCCCTGCTTGTAATTTCCCCTGAGTACCACTGGGACAAATCCTTGACCTATTTGCCTGGCTACTTCAGCTCAGAAATCAAGTTTTCTGGTTCAAGTACTTTGGATCAGGGGTGAAATGCTCCCGGTTCAGACTGGATCGCCCGAGCCAGTAGCGATGGCAGCGGGTGGTTCAGAGAACCGGTAGCAAAAATCCCTGCGCCCCCTCACCCTACCCCACCATGCCCAGCTGAGCCGCACGATCATCACAGGCTTTTTTTTTTACTTTTAAAAGCATTTTTTCTACAACCTCTTCTGACGAAAAAATGCTTTTAAAAGTAAAAAAAAAAGCCTCTGATGATCGCACGGCTCAGCTGGGATCATCAGAGGCTTTTCAAAGCATTTTTTCCTGCAACCTCTTGGCCAAAGAGGTGGTAAAAAAAATACTTTGAAAAGTCTGACAATCCCAGCTGAGTTGCCTGATCAGCAGAGGCTTTTCAAAGCATTAGAAAAAATGCTTTGATCTTTTCCCAATTTCCCATTATCTATTCAGATATCTGATAATGCACCCAGTACTCCAATGCTTTTGGATGGTTCTATAATGCCTGAAAATATATAATAAGAGAGCCAGACCCAAAAGCAAAAATACCGGAGAACAATCATATGTATGTCTCCTCAAAATATATGCTAATGAGGCCTATTGACTTTAGAATTCCCACATTCTTTAATTGGGGCAAACATATATTTAGGTTATGAACTATGTCACCTAGACATAGAGTCATATAGGTAAAAATAAAGCTTTGCCCTTTCCAGCTGTCAGATCCCCATAGGTTTCTATCTTTAACTTTAGGGGGATATGCTCATCTCATGGGTTAGCCAAGGGAACCAACATTATCCAGACATTTCCTTGGTCACATAGCCAGCATGACTATACGCCAAGGCACATAGAATGCTGTTACCTTCCCACCAAAGTGGTACCTATTTATCTACTCTCATTTGCCTGATTTAGAACTGCTAGGTTGGCAGGAGCTGGGGCAACTAATGGTAGCTCACCCCATCGCATGGCACTCGGGCCTCAAACCCAGGCTGTCCAACTTTCCAGTTGACAAGCTCAGTGTCTTTAACTCCTGAGCCATCACTCTACACTCTTATATATTCATATAATTATAATGTATTCATATGAATATACAGTACATATCTATACATATGAATATATTATAATATAGCAAATAAAAACAAGTCTCTTAATCATTTTTGCTTGCTTATTAACCCATTAATAGTTAACCCATGACTTTATCATCCATTCGCCTTGCATAAGTTATTAATAAATATTATATACTTACATGGTGGGTGACTATCCTTTTGAGGGCAAACAAATCCAAAACACAAGGCAATAGCAAGTACTAAACAGGTCTTATACTCCATTCCTTAATCCTGTATTTGTGCTCTTCAGTGTTCCTTAAATATACAAATACACATGATCATAATTTATAATTGTAAGTTACTATAATATAAATATTAAACCAGTCTTTCTCTTTCAAAAATGTTGCAGCACAGTTAAGATTAATTTTAAATACTCACTTGTGGTTGTGATTCTATAACAACTATCCAACTGTACAAACCATAAAACACTTCAGTCCTTTAAATAATATAAGCCTTTTTAATCACATGGCAAAATAACGCCGACTAGATTCATAACAATAACAGGAAAACATTTTGCAACCAAGAGTTTCATTTCTCCTGCCAATATTTTTTGCCCTTTCCCTACCCTGGAGAATGTAGTAGTGATTTTACTTCCGTTGAAGACCCTGGGCTCTTCTGACAGTTTCAATCTTTTGGGTGAGCTTTAGAGAGGTTAGGATTATATTTTGTTCACATTGAAGTTGCATTTTTGGCTGCTTTCAGGACAAGATCTTGTATTTTATAGGCTACAGCCTGACTTTAAGCCTGACCCTTAAAAAGAAATTAAATAATAGTGCACTACTTCTGATTTTTACTTTCCTTCTCCTTAACGTGGAGATACTAAACAATTATCTTTTAAAAGTATTTGTGCAATGTATCTACAATGTATCTCATAAGTTCTTTTAACTATTTGTTGTGACAAAATAGTCCTTTTGGGCTTTGTTTTTGAAGAAGGCAGATCAAGCTGTGTAAGATAGAGGAATTGCCACAGTTCCTTGCTCTGCCTGTGGTGTATACCAATACTTTCAGTCACTGGCTTTGTGCACCGAAGTCTGAAGAGAGCTGCTGTCTTGAACACAAATAGCTTTTGTATGATTCGCAACATGAAATTCAACAAACTGGAAATTAGTTTGCTTGTATATAATTCATACCATTCCTGAATCTAGTCAGCTGTTTTAACCTTTACCCAGGCATCCTTTGCCAAACGTCTTAGTATCTTTATTGTCCTGTGGAACCATTCAATTTTGTCTATATTTTTCTTGAATTGGGGCCTTCTGATTGGAAATGTTTCCACTTTTCTCCATCCTAATCTATTTTATCTAGTGAGCTGACTAGTACAGCATAAAGTGAAACTATTGTTTCTGTAGCAAGTGGTTTATGAAATTGTATAGCTACAGATTTCCGTCTTGAGAATTAATACCTGTGGGAAAATCTTAATATTTCCATATCCACATATAAACTCACTGCACCTGCCCCCACCCTTTCCAAAACAAATTCACCAGACCCTGCCCTATCCCATAATTGAAAAACATATTTAAAAGCTTAATTATTTTAAAGATCATTTTAAAGTGCTACACGGCACTTACAAAAAAGAAAACAGAATAAGGCTTTGTGCAGCAGGCTACACTTCCCAAATTATTTGTAAGATCTTCAGCTAGTTCACTGTTTTAGCACTCCCTGAGCTGTTGCTGCAATATATAGGGAATTATGGTGGATGTTTTCCATATTTGGATATGCCATTATGCTGACATCAAGGATCTGCCCTGGAATTCAGACAGATTTGCTTGGAAATCTTTATCTTTTGTGACAACCCTTGTTTTTAAGTCTTCCTGAAAGTAATGCAAACTATATTGTACATCTACATTTTTAATAAGAAACATTGAAAAGGCAAGATAAATTGGAAGATAACATTTCCCTATATATTTCTGCACAGCTGACTATGATACAAATTGCAAAAAAAAAACCATTCTGTATTTCAATAATATGAATAGAATGCATTTTTCATCAGTAATAACTCCCTTCTTCTAATCAAATTCCTTAGTTAGTAATTTTCACACAGAGGTAAATGGGGAGATTTCAACACTGCACTAATACATTGTGAAAATATACTGTAAGTGCAAGTTGGGACTAATATTTCTAACACCATTTTCTTGAGCACAGGTTCTCCTCAGGGCTGTGTCCTAAGTCTGCTGTTGTTCACCCTGTTGACCCATGACTGTTGTGCTAGGTTTACCACCAACCATATTGTGAAGTATGCAGACAATACAACAGTAGTGGGCCTTATTCAAGATGACAACGAGGGTGCTTACTGCAAGGAGGTAGAGCGTTTAGTGAACTGGTGTAACAAAAAGAGCCTCATCTTAAATGTAGGAAAAACTATTATTGTTGATTTCACAAAAGGCAGGTGGTCACACACCTCTGCATTAATGATTCACCTGTGAGGTGGTTAGCAGCATCACTTTCCTAGGTGTGCAGCTACTGAGTAGGCTAGCTTGGTCGCTCAGCAGTGAGACGCTGGTGAAGTGCGCTCAGCAGCACCTACATTTTCTGTGTCCCATGAGAAAAGTCCATCTTCCTTCCCTGGTCCTTACCACTTTCTATAGATCAAGAGCATCCTGTCATATTGCATTACTGTTTGGAAGCATTAATGCTTCGGACAGGAAGGCGGCGCAAAGAGTGGTGAGGATGGCAGAAAAGATCATTGGTAGTTCAATTCCTTCTATCCAGGACGTAGCACAGCTTGATGCTTGAACAGAGTCTGCAGGATTGTCTGGGACACAACACATCCTCTTCATGACCCATTTTCCTTGTTACCTTCTGGGGGGAGGCTTTGTGTTATCTGAAGTAGAACGTCTAGACTGAGTCACAGTTTTGTTCCATATAGCATTAACCTTGTGAACTCTTAAATTACCTCTTTCTGCTACGTATTCTAAATGGACAGTGATTAATATACAGTATATGTGTGTGTGTGTATATATATGTATATGTATTGGTGCAGATATATATATATATATATGTATGTATGTTTTTCTTCTAGCCAGGTTTTCCCTACGTAGCCAAGGTTTTTTTGTAGCTCCAGCTCAGTAGAATCTCATCTGCTCGGTTCTGGGCTTTTTTCTTTTCTAACACCTAGCAAGCTCTCACTGCTAGGTGGGAGACCTAAATAGATCCATTTCTAGCTCGTTAGCTGTCATCAGTAGGCTATGGAACTGGTAGTAAAACCGGTGGGAGGGTCCGCCCACTTACCCCGACGTCATCAAAATGCTTCTGCGCATGTGCAGAAAAGCACGCACGCGTGAACAAAGCAAGCGCACATGTGCGGCCCCCATTGCAAACCAGTAGTAAAAGTAAGTAGAACCCACCCCTGATGTGTATATGTGTGTTATGAGTATGATTGGGTAAGATATACACTTTCTCTTGAGAGCAAACAACAAAATTTCATTTTTAATGTGGACCAGTGTGCTCACAGCAAAAAACTGACAATAAAGTTATCTTATCTATCTTATCTTATATATATAATATTTGGTAAAACCTTTGAAATACAAAATGTCACACAAATTATATCTTCAGGAAATAACTCTACAAGTGAGGGATATGTTTTTCAGCTAGAGAGAAATTGCTTCTGCACTAGGCTGATTTGTATGATATGGTCATATTCAGATCTGACTCAACTAGAGATAGAGAGCATTTTCATATATGAAGTTAAAATCTGCCTTTAAATATTTCTTCTGCTACTTATAGAGGTTGACAAAGGGTGTCTAAAGGTAGGCAACAAAGATAGTAAAGAGATCAGTCAATATGGATTTGATATTCAGTTTGCAGGCTAGCTGGGTAATTCCAAGAGCTGAATTCCTTGCATCTTAAAATTGCCAGGTTTGAGAAACACTGGTTTAAGGTAATAGACATCAATCAAGAATGCTGCAGCAATAAATTTCCTTCATTACCTGAGGGTTAGGCAAGAAGATTTTTGAAGTAACAATAATTCTGATTTGATTACACTATCGTTCTTTTATACATAGGTGGGAATTAAATGAAGAAAAAGTATAAAAGAGAATATTGTAATATGAATAAGCATTAGGCTGTTATATTCAGTCAACTGAGTCAAACTATCACATGTGAATGTCCAGATTTTTTTCAGATATATTTTGTCTTAGAAAAATTTGGCTGAATCAGTTGCCCTTAGAAAAATGTATGAATTTCTTTCCCTCTTTATGTTTCTGGAAAGCAGAGAGAGGCCAGCTAATTTTGTCTCTATCTGAACTTTTACCACTTTCAGTTCCTCTTACAAATGTCTATTATATCATGTACATATGTGAAATGGAATCTAGATACATTTTGGGAAGACAGAAGCACTATATGCATATACCTGGACATATAGAAAATTATGTCCAGTTAATAGATGCTCACCAGGGACCAGTGCTTTCTATTAATGATGGGCACTGCTCTTTAGGTGGCCTCGTGAACCCCTTCAAGCATTTGTTGAATGTTGAAAGGAAAGAATTATACCTACCTATATTCTAAAGGTTTACATATGGAATTGCAAATGATGCGCTACATGGTTAAATATTGCTTAGGCAGAAATTCTGATACTTTTAAATAGTAACTATTGGAAAGAATTTTAGTATCTTTAAATATTTAATATATTAAATACCTTTGGCAGTAGTTTGAATTCTGTAGTCTTTCTCAATTGGAGGAAGCATGTTGATCTAGGAGGACTTAATTGTACCTGCAGAATCCCCAGCTGGTTAATCTTCCAGATGCATGGACCTGGGCTTTTTCCAATTGTGTGGAATTCAAACTCCCAAAATTTTCAACAATGGCCTTAAAGACTAGGGAATTCTGGAGGTTGTCCAGAATTCCCCAGCCTGCAAGGCCATTGTTGAGAATTTTGAGAGTTTACGCTTCATACAATTGGGAAAAGCCTGGGGTTAAGTAGGACCATTTTAAAGGTATAACTAATAATCTCGGTCCTGCCAATAGGTCTCTTGAATATGAGACTGAAGTAGAGTCAGATTATTGAACTAAAATCTCTTTGAATTGCTGAAGAAACAGAGCAAACACAAAGATTCATGCAGGATTAAATAAAGGGAGACCCCCCCTCCCCACCACACACATACACAACCACACACTTGAATAGAAAGGCAGGATGTTCCCAAATAAATACTTTGCATTGCCTGGGGCTGGAGTTGTTCTCCATAAGGTGGCAGTGGCAGAATTTGTTGATTTCCAGGGAGAAAAAGGGAGAGATAGATTTAAAATTAAGTTAAACACATTACATGGTTTGCTTTGCTTTATTTTTCAGAGTGTGCAAATATTGTTGGGCACCAGGATTCGGAAAAGTAACATTCAACAGTCATAGTTTGTTAGTACTTCCCCGTAGATCAGGGGAAATGAATTTAATTAGTTTATTCAGCAGGATTTTTCTGCAGGATTTCATAAAGTATAGAGTCATAATGAAATGCACAGTCATGAAAGAAATTGGGTGAACAGCTCTTTATGCAGAG